AGGAATGCTAATTAATAATTCATTACTTATGTACTGCATTGTGTTGAGATTAAACCCTCTTGTTGTCCGGGCATAACTACATTGTATTTAAATACGAGGGAAAAATATGAGCAGATTCAGTTCTATTCAAGATCCACAGTAATTGTTATTTTGTTTTCCCTCTGTCCACAGTTTTGATTTCAACAAGAAAGAAATCGTTATCGGAGCCCAAGTGCCAAATTTAACTTGGGTTGGCAGGTATAATGTGAGTGGTAAGCTGCTGTCACTCCCGATAAGCGGCGAGGGGCCTATGAAGATTTCTTTTTGTAAGTGGTCATTCCGTAACGTAGACAAGGCAAACATAAGTATATTTATCATTATTATTATTCCATTTATTTATCACTTTATAGGGTATTTGTTTCTATGTACCCGAGACAAAGTTGCCCTAATGTACATAGTACAGCAGCTATTTCCGAAATACATTTTTTTTAATATGTGTTACATGAATTATGGGGTCCGTAGTGGCCGCGCGGTCTGAGGCGTAGGCCTTATGCCGCTTGGTCGCTGGGACCGTGGGTTCGAATCCCACTCAAGCCATGGATGTTTGTCCGCGTTTTTCTAATGTGCTGTCCTATGTAGAGTTAGAGACCTTGCGACAGGACGATCCATCGTCGAAGGAGTCCTACCGAATGTCTATAGATGAAGTCAACGAAAAGTTGGGACCCGCAGTGCTCAGGCACTTGAAGAACGGGTCGTTCACACCATCCCCCTGTACATGAATTATACAGTTTTATCGTGAGAGATAACTACATGTTTTACGACAGCGTATTTCGAATGGCGTATAAAGATACTAAAATGGTAGTTTTCTGAAGTTCCCCAATGTCGTGGTCGCCCGGGATGTTGGCCAAATATTTTCTGAGTGACTTGGAGACAGTTCTAGTTGCTCCTATAATTATTGGGATTACTTTTGCTTTCAATTTCCACATTCGCTGTATTTCAATGAGAAGGTCCTTGTATTTAAAGATCTTCTCCGCTTCCTTCTTAATCACATTCCTGTCAGTTGGTATTGCTATATCAATTAAGAGACGAGTCCCATTTTTGTTTAGGATTATAATATCTGGTTATCCTGACTTGTCTCAACTGCCTTTGGGATTTGTTCATACCAATGCTTCTTTTCTAGCTTTACGCCAGCTTTCCTGCATATTTTAAAATGCAGCTAAGTACGATCACGATCATGTCGTTGTATACATTGCTCTTTTGCCAGTACTTGGCATCCAGACACAATGCGATCTGTCGTTTCTTCAATTTGCTGACAAAATCTGCATTTGTTGTCTGTGTCTGTTTTTAATATTTTGGTTGCATAATTTATTATTACCATCATCGTCGTCGTCATCGTTCATAAGAGAGATGTAACAGGATACGAGGTCTGACAAAAAGTGTGACTCAGTCAGAAGCGCAAAGTAATTAATTAATTCGTCTATTTCAAGTTATGTTTGCACAGTTTTTGTCACAAAACAAAGATAAGTCCCCAATTAACGTGCACATACAAATTATTCTTAACTGTTCGGATAGTTATAGCATATTTAAGAACGTTGTCTTTCAGCCACACGCCGTTTCTTCGTTGAAATCTTCACATAGGTTTCATGCTTCACAAAGACTAGGTGTAAGAAAAGAAAGGGTATAGTCCGATGACTTGGCTGTCATGCTATTAGGTCTCATATGCGTGTCTCCTATGAAAAGAGCATTAAAATGCTGACGACTGGTGCAGAGAAAATGTGTAAAGCATGTTTAGCAGGATTTGTACAGAAACGAATACCGATCACACATCTGCTGGGTTCATCTCAGTTTCGGAAATATCTGAAGTCGCGTAGGACAAAATTATTTAGGCTAGGTACGGTAGATACACTCGCACTGGTATTTCTCATATTTTTAAGACGAATGCCAAGCACTAAACGGTACGATTAAACGTGAGCGAAAAACAACCGGTAGAATGTTCCAGAGAAACAAATTAGCCAAAATTATCAAAGCTAGCCAACACAGTTTTGATTCTGGACTTTCACATTCATTACTTTTGTATTTTCTTTCTTGGTCCAACTGGAAAATAGTTAGTCAAGTCACTTTTTCATTTTGTTCTCGAGGTCCGATTGGAGTAAAGGATCTGCAGATATAGAAAAGTAACTGCAAATTCACTTATTTATCAGTCGTGTAAACTGGTCCTTCAACTTAGGGGTTGGGAAGGGGTTGACAACTTGTCGTTTTAAACCAAGTTACGAAATCCCCCAGATGGCGCCGGACATGGATAATTTTCGACAAGGTGATTTCAGTAGGTTAAATATGTAGCACGCACAGGAAAGGTCAGAAGTGCAAAATGTTGGTTATAAAGCTTGAGGAGAAGAGTCAACTAGTGAGACCTTGACGTGGATGGAAAGATAGTATTAACAAAGATCTTAAAGTGGTGGCATTCATGTTGTTACAAGGACCGGTGATGTATTTCTGTGGACACGGTAATATACATTCGGTTTCCACTTAGGCAAGACACTTATTCACAAGCGAACTGAGTGTTGGCACCTCAATGTCTTTATACCTATTATTTAGAAGTAATGTTTAAATTTATAAGAACATTTTTTCTCATTAACTAGACGTAATGAAACACTCAGCCAAAAATACTTACTTCAACCATAAATCAAACTGGTTTTGTTCGAATTAATGCTTTCAGAACCATGTAGTAGATTTATCATACATGCATCAGTTCATCAGTGCAGCCACCTATTGCATAAGAACTTCAATTCGGTTGTCAGAACTCGTACATAATAAACAAGTTTGAAACAAAAGAATTTTAAAAATATTTGTACCTCAGAGATAAAAGTTAAGGAAGGTTTTCTTTCTCACTTAGAATTATTGTCAGTTTGTTATGGCATAACGGCGTAAACATAGTCTTTAACAAACGCCGATATCAGAAGAAAATCCTGGTTGCAAAATCTCATGGATACCCGAATGAATTTTAGAGATATTTGGTTACGATCCTTAGAAGTAAACATAAAAATCCAGGATAAAATTCAATGGAGTGAATTTATCCTTCATTCATTCTTTCATTCATTCATTTATTTCCACTCGAAGGACTGGATCATTGGCCCATTCCAGGACAGTTGCTCAAGGCAACTTGTCCTATTAGTCTTGAAGTGCATTTTGAGTAGTGATTAAAACGCCCACTGCCTCAGCACAATTTCTGCTCAATCCTGATTTGTCTGCGAGGGCCATCTAGTAGAGAATCTATGACATGGGACCGACGACTGTACTTCCCCTAAGAAGAAAGTTGTGCTACGGGTTCTTATCACCCGTAAAAACTCGGGAACCTTGGGTCCAGTGGCTAACACATTAACCACTAGTCCACAGAGGGCGACAGAATTCATTTTTAAAAACAAATTCATTATGATGAGCAAAATATTTGGTACGTGTTTAAGAAAATCTTATGTCACTGAGATAACATTGTAGTTGCCTTCATTTTCTTCCAGATGATTGCGATATGAAGTATACGACCAGTTACAATTTAACTAAGCTCGGTAAAGGAGATGTGTACCTAGTGCTCAAGGACTTCAAGTTGTTGATGGCACCTCAGGGTTTAAAAATTCAACTAGATAACTTATTCAACGAAAACAAGATACTAGGTGAGTGAGGAAATTTTGCAGTTCTATATGTGAGCTGAGAATTTTTGTAGTTGTAAACAAAATAAAAGATTAACTCTAATGTAATTTCGAAAAAAGTAATGTTAATTGTGCTAAAAATTGTGTAGTTGGAACAAAGATCTA